TGAGGCGAATCGCAATAGCCTCTGCTATTTGGAGCATGCGGTGCTTCGATGAGTTTGTCAATTTATTAGGCACACGGTAGATTACAGAGAAAGATTCTTCAACCCTGGCTGGCTTTGTGGCCGGTTTGCATCAAGTGGTCCAATATCGAACTGTCAGTGGTTTTCACTACACCTTTACTTAGCCATAGTGGGATATGTTCTCGAGAGAGAACGAAAAATCAAGTTCCTAGAGCAACGTGCAATATAACTCGCGCAGTTGAATTGGAAGATACAACTTGAAGTGGCTAGTCTAGGCACTTCATCTTTTAGTCGAGGTAGCACCACCGGTCGTGTAGAGAATAATACGTGTAGTTCACAAGCATTAAAAGTTCTTTGAAGTGATTTTCCTAATTTCCTCGTAATTCTCTCAATTGGTATATCGCCCTTGATTCGCAGTCGTATATGAAGAGGCTTCTTGTTTACGGATAGTGATTAGTCCTTTTCCGCTTTCCTTGTCATGTGTTTCTTGATACATTTTTTCGGGATAGCTATTTTCGATCAAAGTATCATACACAATGCTTAATCTATCTTCACTTACTTCTTCTGAGCATATAGCTCTAACTGTGTGGCTGAGGGTCTTCACTAAATTTCTTTTGTACTTGATAGGAACGAAGCTGTGAGTGAAAATGTGTATATTGTCCTGTCCAAGTACTATTGCTATACACATTTCTTTTTATACTACCATGTGGTTTTCTTGTAAGGAGGACATTCCGGAATCAACTCTATTATGGGATTCCTCTTCTCATGTGAATTCCATAGTCGAATGTACTTCATTGAATTCGGTAATTATTGTACTCCTATCAGAACCATTCTCACAAAAGATGTAGGTGTACTTCATATATCGCCAACAAAACGAGAACTTACTGATAAGGTTATTCAAAGATCCATTTTCTAGCTTACTTAGAAAGAAATCAGCCAGAATGGGATCCAGTGGGGAGCTCTTTATTCTTTATTGGAATATAATGTAAACTGAAGGTGACAGGACCGATGTGGTTAATATTATCCCGTGTACTGACAAACCTAATTTAAATGTAAGACATCAAGAACTGTGGTTTTGACGAGATGAGTTTTGAATGCATGGTATTGGGTAATCTTTGTATGACGAGTGATACTGATACGATTTATCAGTAGTGTATTGGGAGACTTTCAACAGCATAAAAACATCAAGTGGTAGGGTGATACACTTGACTTTAAAGAAGGCAAATGGTACGGCATTGTGGAGATACATGGGAGACGTAAAAGGGACGCAAAGAAATACAGCACGAAGATCTGTGGAGATAGTGCACTGAGGATGAGGTGTTCATAATTTGGCTATATATAGATATTAATTTCCAAATATACATTCCTTCACTAAGTGTCTTCGTCCTCCACCATTACATTTGTAAGTAGTTTACACATAGTGAAGAGTTCAGATCACCGAAATTCCAGTTAATCACTGATTAATTTGAAAGTCACTATAGGTTCTTGTGTCACTATACTGGATTACTAATTCCTACTTTTGAGCATGCTTGAGGTCTTTGGTTCCATTCTTATGGACTGCAGCTTCAAAGTCAACCGATTCGTCACGACATCATTTTGTCAAGTGATTGGCAACTAATTAAAAATACGTTATAATTTAAAGTGTAACGAGGTCTACAAATTTCTAATTTCTTCTTAACAAGTAATTCCCAGAGTAGATGTGTTCTGAAAAGTGTTTATCTTATGCGTCTGTAGCTCTGATGCCTTAGAAGCAAAACTTTACAAATAAATCTCCATCCAAAATGGTTATTATTATTTAAATTATTATTGTTCCTTTGGGTTCCTAGTGGAACATAGGGCTTCAGCTACACGTCTCCACTTGCTTCTGTCTTCGTTCTGCTGTACTTTTCACCTGCATCCATCCATGTTAGTTCATTCTGTTTCAACTCCTATTCACATGATCGCCTCCATGTCACCATTGCACTGACATCCCACTCGCCGCTTCTTTTTCGGCTTGGTTCCACTCGAGCAATGGTCTGACGCGCGCGATGTCACCCAGCGAGTGTTCTATCCATCTCCACTTCCTCCTGCATATTTGTTGGCTGACGATTGGTTCTTGTTTTGTTTGTTTGTTCCCATAGTTTCTTTTGGTGATTCTTCCCGGCCTGGCCACCTGATCTTCAGTATAGATCCAGCGAAGACAGTTGTTGACAGTTGCTGTCTGCAACAGGCTGTTGGAAATATTCTTTGTGACCCGCCCGCCAAATTTCTGATCCGTATAGAAGAACTGACGGACTTGACATTTGTATTGAAAATCCGATTGAATTTTGTTATTGATGCTGAGTGACGAACATTTGTTTTCTAGATTGGTTTCAGGTTGATGAGTGAATGTGTTTCTCGCCTTCCTGATTCTCGCTCGATTTGACATCCTCATCCGTTACTCCTCCTGTGGTTGAGACAATGCTCCCTAGATAATGAAATGATTGAAGCAACCTCTTTCAAATCCCTCCCGTTGATGGTGATTAGCGCTGGATGTTGCTGCTGCTGTTGTTGTTGTTGGTTGGTTAGTTATTTTCATAAACTCCGTCTTGTCTATGTTCACCTGGAGTCCTGTCTTCGCCGGCTGCTTCTTCGACCAGTTTGTTGGTTTTCACTTGTGTGTATTCAATTTTGTGTAACATCAAACATAAATCCTCCACTCGCAAAATCCATGTCTTCTAGGTTCTTCACATCGGTTGAGGATATCCCTGTCTGCTCGTTTCCCACTGTCTGAAGTATATTCTATTCCATTCCAAAATGGTTGCTCATCAAAACTGATTGACAAGAATATTAAATCAAAGGCCCAGAGAAACAAAACATTACTTATCCCATTCATATAACTGGAACCCCATTCTACTAGTCTGACCTACGATCAGTGTCACTTAGATTATTGAAACGTAAAAATTTAGCTTGATCTAGAATGACTAATCCTGACAAGTTATTAAATCTAGCAAAAACGTCAAACAGTGCATTACATCCACTTGGATGTAATCACACAATAGCAAGGTAGAGAGTGAAGAAGGTATTAGAAGGAAATGTAGTTAGGTGGGGAGATAAAGGTTAATCACTGAAGTTTTGTTTATCGATTCAATACCACACACATGCGAGTGAAATGACTCAAAAGCTATACCTGAGGTGTAGAAAGTTGCAACAAAGAACAAGGAGAAGACAGACAGGGGGGAAATACATATATAAACTAAGCTATGAAGCCGTATGAATACGCTGATATGATTATGGGCAATAAATTCTCCTTGAAACGTCATCCAGTTAACAATACTGCTTCATTGTGTGATATTTGAAACAAACATTTGCGGTATGGTAAAATATTATTTGTACTAAAACAGAAACTTTACATGAACCTGGATTTCAAGAGAGACTAAACTTGAGACATCCGTAAGGGAAGAATGCCAACATCTTCGAGAACATTCTTTGCAGCCATGCTGAAAATAGTGTTCTTTAGTCGTCTATTGGTATGAAGAAGCCTTAAGGAGAAGATCTCGAATTTGGCTTATTTTATGTGCATATCAGTCCACTGTGAAGCTGTGGAGCCAGGTACATTGGTCGTTTGACGCAGATTCCCCTAAAAGTGTTCAGGAATACTATGCCGTATGATTGCATAAAGGTAGTAAGGGCTCTATAAGGAGTGCAATAATCGAACACCTTATCAACAATGATCATTCAATCTCAACAAACGCGACCCCTTCAAAGTGATCCACAAAGTGAAGAACAATCTGCCAAAAAAAATAAGCTTCCGTTTCTTTTTCAATGCTGAAACTTTATTTAGAGAAACCGGAGCGAAGCATACATAAGAAAATTCTTTAGAATTCTTATGTAGTTTCGCATTTTCCATCGCTTCAGGGGATATCCTGATTACAACTCGCCCGTGTTTAAAGTTATTCGCCCCATTGCGCACACTCAATTCCACCTATAAATTGATTAATACTGACGGTTATGTTAACAACATCTCATTACCTTTGTTACTATCCTCTTCTTATTTTTTTAATTACAGCTTGATTCCACACCGTATTTGTTGGTACAGGTATGGAATTTTCAGTATGTGATATCGGTAGCCCAAATTTTGCAGGCCAATCATATATATCAGGTGTGTGTCGGCAGGGGATCAAACCCTAGACCTTATACACAGTCGGCGAGCATCCTAACCACTATGCCACCGACGCGCATCTTCAATTTAAAATAATGTGCTATAAAGTCACACGGCCAATGATACATCTGCCATGTTACTGCTGAGAAATGGAAAGTTGCAACCATCTCAAACTGTTTAATGGATGGTTTGAGGTCGTCTTTAACTTGTGGACGTTAAGTAGAAAATCATTTAGAGTAGACTGTATCAATACATTGAAGCCTTTTTTCAACATCGTATTATATTATATTTATCTACCTGCAATCTAAGTTATCTAGCAAGAATCATTCGACCTGAACCAGTTGTATCCGTTAGGCTTACAGTATTACGTAAGGAGGGTCAATCAGTCGATAGGATTGTGAAGCTGCATCGACTGAGATGGCTAGGAAAAGTGTTGTGCATGCATAGCCATCGCCTTATTCCATGAACTATGTTAGATGATATAAGATTAGGTTAGAAAAGAGTCAAGGGGGAGGGCGAAACCTGATCTCAGCCCATGAGGTCGTTCACAGATGGTTTGAGCCACATAGTGAGGTGTTGACTGCCTGGCTTGGAGTCCTCAGGATTCTAAGAACCAATGGTCGGAGACTATTGTTGATATGGCTCTTCTGTGGAAAAAGAGGGTGTATACAGATTCCAGTGTACAGCTAAGTGAATGAATTCGTCGAAAACAGCATCTTTTTCGAACCACTTCTCCTTATGTTTTCACTAATGTCTGAATCGCGATTATTATTCATCGATATAAACGAACTAATCATAGAAGACTGTCTTTAATGAATAGTGGGATGAAAGAAAACAATAGGTATCGTTTAAAAAATGTTATTTACTGAATTTTGGCAAAAGAATACCATGTATGCAAATCTATGTACAGAATGTCAATGTAAAACTTTGAATATTCTCTTCGCGTTCCCTATGGATTCTTACAATAGAATAGTAAAGGGTAGTAGTTCCCAGTGCCTTATAATCGTCAACCGAGTATTTTAGGAAAAAGATGATAGATAGATAAATCATTCACTACATAACTCTTGCTTCTTCTCCTTCTTCAAAATAAGATACCAAAAAAGGTCAAGATCTGTATAAGCCTTTACGACACATCTGTTGATTTCGCATTAATTTTACAGCATTTCTTGGTATTAATGTCGCCCATATCAGGGAAACAATGACCATCGATTGAAGTTTTATTATCCACTGGCAAATCTTCCGTGTGTACAGTCATTCGATTAGTAGGAGATGAACTATAGGCAACATTACTAATAGTTGTTGTATTATCATATGGGCTCAATCTATCCAATAGGTTGAGATTTTGGGTAAAAGTTGACATTGTCATTTTACACGGCTGTTTCTCAAGGTATCGGTTCTTATTGAAATGAAAATCATTGACGTTGACCTGAATATAAGTTAAACAAAGAGTAATAGAAAAAAAACTTTAGTGCAAGTTTAAATTGAAACTTTTTAAAATATAAATAAAAATACATTTCTTTTTAAACTACCCGACTGTAACTTCATGCTTTGATATTAGTTTGTTTATTACATGTATGACGAAGTGAAACAGTTTTTTCATTTACTGGATGACAAGGTTTTGAACAAAACTTATTGCGGTTCACAATCATCTCATCAGTTATAATCACACGATCTTGAAACTTGAGTTTCATGGTTTTCTTTGTTCTCTCCTATTTGTCGTCGTTGTGGTAGTAGAATTTTTCAGACGTCTGGGAGAGTTGTTGATTCATTACTATCACACGTGTTTGTAGTTGATTCGATAAACAAAGCTTCTGTTATGAATCTCTCCCTCCACCCTGTGACATTAGATTTTGAAACTGTCATCTTATCCCATCCAGCCTATTGTATGGTTGTGTGTAATTGCATGTAGTGAGTGGTATAGCTGAACTATTCGCTAGATTTCTTATCTGATTAGGATCAACTAATCTAGAATTTACTAGGCTTTTATGCTCGGCTAGTTTGGCTGTCCCTGTTCTCATACTTTGATCTATGTATTTGACCTGATGATCATTACAGGTAGCGCATTAGATAAACTAAATTGTTTTGTTTTAAAGGCTCCAGAGGATCCTTTGATAAGAATAATAATAATTTGCTTTATTCCAAAGCAGTAATTGCGATATAGAATGGAATTCTCAGCATTTCACTAAATACAGTATTGCATCCAGTTAGTACATTAACAAGAAATAAAATTCTACATGGACTATGGGTAGTCTCAATTCATTATGAAAACAACATATTAAAATGTCGGTAGCAAAGTCAAAAGTGAACAGAATGTTTGAAGGTGTTAGAAAAGTAGATGCTAGCATATTTACTGGCGTAAGTGGTATCAAAAAGGTCGAGATGTACAGAGTTTGAAGGAATGAAGAAGAATGTTTCAAGTAGAGAAAAGAAAGAAAACGTTGTACCTATAAATGATGTAAGTTGGAAAGACGAGATCCAATTGTTCTACTGACTATTTAATAGGTTATAGGTATCACGCCTAATGCTTTCTGTATCGAACAGAACACGAGCTAAGTAGGTTGTGGTTGAGTTTTTGTACTTACTAGTAAGAGCATATTCTTTTCTATATAGGCTCCTGGTTTTCCCTGATGAGATACAAGGAGAGAAATGTGAATGAAGAGGGTGGTGAGAGTTAGATAGGTAGAATGGATTTAGCCCATTTTTCACATGATTCCGATTGTCTGTCGACTAGAATATTAACAAGCTGGTTGTCAAGTGGTACGTTGCTTGCCCTGCTGACAACCTTTAACATCTTGCGTAATAAGGTATAGTCTTTCTTCAGTAGCGCTGGAAAAACTAAGGGGGAACAATAGAGAATAATAGGCAGAATACGGGAGTTAACGAATTGTAGGAGTAAGGGTTGGGTTATGTTAGAATGCCTTAACTTCTTGATGTAGAAGGTAAGACGGAATATTTTCTCAGAAATCATCAAGATATGATGAGATGACCAGGAAAGACCGTCAGATAAAATGACGCCAAGATATTTAATTTCCGACTTGGTTTCTATTTCAGTGCCATTTATGTTGCACACCTCGTGAGTGCTAAAAGTTTGTTTAGGTCAGATTTATATCTAAAGGTGAAATTGATTGACTGTTTGACATTTAGACGGATTTAAGGTGAGACCGTTTTCTTTGGATCACTGGCTGATTTCTGATAAAAAACCATTTAGTTTGGAGCAGTCACTTTGACACTTAACAGGCAAAGATACAGTCAGATCGTCAGCATATTTAACAAAATTAATGTCGTTTGAAGATTGTTAGTCAAGTAGAAAGAAAGAAAAGAGAAGTGGGGAGAGTACAAAGCTTGTTTCTAATTGAGTTTTATGGGTTTGAATGCCACTTTAATTCCTGCCTTGTTAAGAATTCTGCGTAAGCTTTCATGCTTTCAGTTTGTGAAGTGTGAAGGTAACGACATAAAAACCAGCTAGTTCGCTGCTATACGAAAGTATTTCCCTCAGAGAACTGTCACCTCACGGTATACATCACAAACTAGACACATCCATCGTTACTCTTACTGCATAGTTCATTAATACAAACTAAAATGAGTAAAGTTAAACGTGTAGGGCAGAAAATTCCACCAAATTATTAGTCTACAACTTCTTCATTATTCAAAATTCAGTACTGAAGTTCACTGCTTAAGTCAACAATTATAAACTGAAGGTGAGTCATTAAACGCCTACATCATTTCTCACTCTGTTTTGTTACATTCAGTTGTTCTTGCACTACGTCTAATTTGCCAATCACGTTTTCTGGGGGTAACAACAACGACTCAAAATGTTCATCCCGAATTATCTGGCTAAGAGTTTAGAGAAGCATTAATCTGCATAAGCTAACGAGAAGCCTCTGTATATAGAAGAATACAATAGAAAGGCGATACACTGAGAGAAATAATAATCAACATACTGAAGAAATTGTTTCCAAGATCCTTTAACGCTGGTAGGCTACAGCTTTCCACACGAACATTTGTAATTCAGAAACTAGATATGATAGAGAAGATTTGTAGCTCAGGTGGATGATTTTGATGTATTTGTGTTCTCTGAGCTGGACAGCTGATTTGTGAAGCTTTCATCGCCCTATTAAGGGACATCTTCAACGAATACTTCAATTTGTTGAAGGGAGCTTTTAGATTTCTCCAAGAGTTTATTAATCATCTCTCCTGGTGACCTTGGGCTTGATTGATTGTTTTTATGTGTTTTCACACCTTCTAGGATACTTGTGTTGGAACTGATTGTTTCCTTGACTTGAACTTTGACCCTTTGTGTGTGAGGTTTCTGACGTATCGGTTGATAAATTTTGTCTATCTCGACGTGTCTATTGATCGATGATTCACTGGAATACCAGACAGATTTCTAAAAGGTCTCTAGCATTTTTGTTGTTTCCTCCGTCTAATATTTGAACGTTGGTTGTTCCAGTCGAATTTATGTCTGTGGTCGTCTGTATGTAGTGATATGAGGGAGTGGATATCATGTCTTTTGACGGCTAGCTTATGTTCTTGGATACGAAGACGCAGGGAATGTCCACTTTGACCAATGTAGTGTTTTTCACAGTTGTTACAATTCATTTTGTAAATGATGTTGGCTTCATCTTCTTTCGTTGTTGAGTATTTTGGTTGACATAGAATTGAGTGAAGTGACTTTGTTGGTTTGTATACGACGTCAATTCCTAAAGGTTTGAAGAGTCTTGTAGTGATTTCTGAGATATCCTTTATATATGGTGAGGCGATTTTCTTTGTGCTTTCCTTGGTTGGAGCTTTTGGTTTGATAAGTTAGGTTGGGGGTCATGTCTTTTGATGAAATTCTGCGGATATCCATTTTTTTCGAAGATGTCCATGAGATATTTTTCTTCAATTTTCTTTAAGGTAGGAGTGCTGCAATGAGTCCTTGCCCTCCTGAGTAGTGTATGCATGCGATTCCCTTTGTGTGTTATTGGACTGTTGCTGTTGCATTCCAGTGAATCATCAAGCAATAGACACATCGAGATAGACAAAATTTATCAACCGATACGTCAGAAACCTCACACACAAAGGGTCAAAGTTCAAGTCAAGGAAACAATCAGTTCCAACACAAGTATCCTAGAAGGTATGAAAACACACAAAAACAATCAATCACGACCAAGGTCCAGTCACCAGGAGAGATGATTAATAAACTCTTGGAGAAATCTAAAAGCTCCCTTCAACAAATTGAAGTATTCGTTGAAGATGTCACCTAATAGGGCGATGAAAGCTTCACAAATCAGCTGTCCAGCTCAGAGAACCCAAACACATCAAAATTCCGAAAACAAAAGACGAAGTACCTATGCTAGCCACTTCTTTCTGCATTCCCTAATTCAAATTTTATATTACCTGCTGCTCTAAGAACTCAATTTTTGTGCTCGAGAACACCTGCAAATATGACTAAATAAAGGTGTTTTAAAAGCCATCACCCTTTTCAAACAGGCTACAAAATAAGCTAGCATTAATGTGTCCTTTTCTGTCATCTATTGATTACTAAAGGCTTCTAATTGCGTAACAGTCTAGGCAGCAGATACCATCGCAGATAGTTTATAACAACTGGAGCTGTGCAAGCAGTGAAAAAGAAACCACCGCTGCTAGTCAAGCCTGCTATAGAACCATAAATCCGTAAATTCTGTGCTACTCCCCTTAATTTACCTGACATTCATTTTGGGGTTATGCTGATTTATATTATCACTTACAGATTCTTTTTAAGTGTAATTCACCGATATCATCGATTCAGTTTTCTTGTCGAATTTAAAAAACATCAACCTGACTGGTTAAGTAAAAGATAAACAGAATCTATTGATAGTCCTATTCTGTCCTATTTTGTGGATACACAACACAAGATTGATGTTAACGAGGCTTCCAAAGTTATTTACCGCATTCCAACTAATCTTAATTTCGCCTAAAGAGTTCGTTTACTAAATATTACTGAGACCGTTAGCATCCACATTAAGAAACCTAACCTATGTGTCCAAAAGAAGCTGGTTGGTTCAGACACTGTCCATACCTTAGCCATCAAGGTTCGAATGATCCTCAAATTTTGTGGAAATTTTCTTAATTTTATTTGATATTCTATTTGTTATTATTATATTTTTATGCTTATTATAATTTATGCATCTTTAGTGAACTGTAATACCAATGATCTTACTTAACAGATCGATATTATTTAAAAAACACCAATATTGTTATTGACTTCTAATCTATGTTATTCTATGTATATAAACATATATATATATATATATATATATATATATATATATATATATAATTTGTAGAGCCAGAAGACAAAACTGTCAAAAAGGATATTCTTTGCTCCATTTTTTAAAATTTTAACTACCTGAATGAATATCCTCTCTAGATTCAATTTTATTTTAAATATCAGTGATGTTACTC